GGGTCAAATGAGACATGAAATCATATCTCCGATTCATACTCAATCAAAATATGAAAAAATATTTGGGGTCACCTTGCATCCTAAAGAGCTACAATGGATTTTGCATAGGCATGTTTTTGCCCATATATGCTATGTATTACAAGAGCTCGCGCGCACGGAAATTTATGTTTAACGGTCGATCATTCCGTCATTAATAGTCATAAAGAGATAAACATGCTATCAATTTGTTTGTAAAAATATGTGGAATATTATGAAAGAAAAAAATGGCGATTCTATGTTGTGCAATAGTTTTACGCGCGAAAACGCGCACGCATGTGCGTGTGTGCGATTTTTATAAAATGCTTAGAAAGGCCTTAAACGTATACAAAATGATTTTGAGACGATTTTGAGCATTTTAAAATTTTACGCGCGCATTGACGCGCGGACGTACGCGCACGCGCGCGTTATTTGACCTGCAATTGACCGGAAGGATATTGACCTTGATCATGATAAATATAAATGAGAAATACTTTTTGGTTATGAAGATATGATCATGAATTGATTTTCGTAAAATTTTACAAAATGGCACCTAGATGACGTCATCAGTCAAGGTCAAGGTTGAAAAAAATTCTATGCTTTGTACATATGCCTATACATATGTGTGCCAAATTTCAAGGCATTTCATCGAGCCATTTTCAAGTTATCTTGCTAACAAAAAAGTGGTTAGAAATAAGAAAAATATTTAATAATAAATAATAAATAAATAAAGGCAATTCTAACGAAATTATAAGGTGGTCTGTACGTTATACAGCCCACCTGATAAAGAAATAATAATAATAAAGAAGAAAGAAAATTCTGACGAAATCATTAGGTGGTCTGTTGACAACAGCCCACCTAATTATAGTAAATATCGTAATTATAATCATTATCATAAAGCTTATTTTTTATTATCATTCTTATAGTTATTTATATTTTTCTTCTGATCATATTTATCGTATACACAATACGTCATGTGCCAAGAATTTATTGCTATGATACATCCAAGATGTCTACCAAAACTGTCAATTCGTTCCTTAAATATTATCAAGCCAAAAGAAGGAACATTAGAATTTCTATTTTAAATTGAAATAAATTATATAGGAGAAATAAATAGAGAATACAATCATGATTTTGGAACTAGGGGATTAACATGGACATAAGGCACTTGTTTAGATGACCACATTATCTCTTATTCATTCTACCTCCAATTTTTCAGACTGTTTTCAAAACAATATCATGTTTGTCGATCATAGTCGTATGTAGCTTGATGTCTCATGGTAATTTAATCACTCTAAGCAACAATTTCTGAATTTTAGCGACAATCGTTCGCCATGCATTGCTGCTCTTTAATACTATTATGACGTGCAGTAACAAATTGAAATCTCAGAACTCATAATAAATTCATTTAACAGTTGATTCTACTTGGTTGATTCTATTGTTCGGATTATTTAGCAGAACGAGATAGAAATTGACATTCTCATGGCTAACGACTTTGCCTTAGTAGTTGTTCATCTTCTCTACAATGCTATTTGAACAATATTTGGTGACAAAAGACGGCATTTCTATGTAGCTTCAAAAGCCACATGATAGGGGTTAATTAACAATCAAAGAAACCAGACTTTCAAATTAAAAAACCCCCGGAATGATATTAAGGACGGCATTTGTTCCCTCTTGAAACGCCGAACATACCGCGTAGTGTGCAGCTGAATATACAATGGCGTCTTATTTTGCTTACAAGCGACAGATTCCTTTATTTCAATATCGCTGCATTTGTCATCAAAATAAACCAAGTGTGGGGTTTAGAGTCAGGCAATAGATTATACATTTAGCCTGACGGTAGTGAAGTAAGAGAAAGAACTCACGAGAAGATGAAAACACAGGCACTGAAAATGTGTGAGATGTCATGGGACATCGTCTGCTTGTGCAAATCATGTCCATAATGGATCTCACACATCTCAGCAGCGTTCAGAGAGCTCTTCAGGTGCTGTGCCGGGGTTGTATTTAAGCGTTTTGTAGTTTATAATAATCATTACTTCGAATGTGTCCAATCATTGAATTTTGATAACCTTGTCGAATCAAAGCTTCAACTTTGCAATAATGAAAATGAAGTTATACAGTCACGATATAATTTCATTTTTTGCATTGAATTAGACCGAAATCTCCTTAACATCAGGTACTCTAGTATTTTGCAGTACATGTAGGTTTATACATGTGTAAGACAGTTTGTGTCACAAAAATGCGCTATTTATTCTTGTTTTTTGTATTCCTTCTTAATCGTTCTTTCTTTTCTCTCTATGTTCCTTTTAAACGTCGCATTGTCATTTTGACAATGACGCGGTTATTTAATAACAATTGGGACTGCATGACCGCCACAGAACTAAAACTACGATTCCTGAAGGGGAGGTCCACCCTAATATCAAGTTGTTTTGTATTTAAGCAGAAAAATTCGTTTATTTAAGAGAAAAGGTTAGTGAAAGTTTGAGCTAAAACCGATTAAAAATAAGAAAGTTTTTTTAAATTTTAAATCAGCCATGGGCTCATTTTCTCACGCGTTGCATCTTTAGAAATAACATTCTGGGGTCAAAGTATGCATATACAAGATACACCTTGGCTTTGCTTTTGCTTCAATGGAGGTGAATTGATTAAATTTCTTCATCTACCCGAACAAATTGGCAGGATACGTATTGCAGTGGTAAGTTTAGAAAACAGGGTTGGCATATTTCCCGCTTCGGAGGCTTATTTCCCGGACGCCGGGAAATAAGCGGTGTTTACCGGTATTTACCGCTTTTTACCGGTATTTACCACTTTTTACCGGGAAATATTGGGAAATATATTTTTCCACTCACTTGTTCATAGGGATTGTCCAATTTTGAACATAATAACAATGGTGGTGAGTATGGTTGCTCTTGTGTGTACTATTTTTGTGTGTGTGTGTGTGTGTGTGTGTGTGTGTTTGTTCTTGTGTTTGTCTATGTCTGTAGTTAGGTAATGCTGGAAAAAAATACAGGAAAAAGATACCAAATATACACCTAATCTAGATATGATGTTCTTCATTAAAGGGAACCAAAACCTTCATACTAAGTTACTTTTATTGTAAAGTTTAAGATATTTGAATAAAATCAGTGAAAAATTGAACAAAATCGGGCAAGGAATAAGGAAGTTAAAGCTTTTTAAAATGACTAGTCACTAGAGGGCAATATTCAATTTGATGACATCATTTGTGGACAACTCTCCATGCCTTTTGTACATCAAATTTCACAAGTCTTTCGTTTTTTCCTATTTATTTGTGTTCTTGATCAGATTTCATAACATGTGAAGTAGAATATCATTTTGCATTTTATTATCTCAATCACAAGAAAGAAGGAAAAACATGAAATTTGATGTACAAAAGGCATGGAGAGTTGTCCACAAATGATGTCATCAAATTGAATATCGCCCTCTAGTGACTAGTCATTTCAAAAAGCTTTAACTTCCTTATTCCTTGCCCGATTTTATTCAAATTTTCACTGATTTCATTCAAATATCTTAAACTTTACAATAAAAGTAACTTGTATGAAGGTTTTGGTTCCCAGTTGCTAATTACCATATTCATGAATACCTATTAATTAGCATATGCACAAAATGCCATTTGTTTGGGTGTGTACAATTTTGTATGCAGTGAGGATTTTATAAATCTGTTTGTGTGTTCCTACTATGAGTATTGTGCTGCTAATTATTTCAGAACAATATTTTCAGTTATGAGGCTAAAAAAAAGTAAAATTATGAATAAATAGAGAATTAAAATCATATTTCCCGTTTTTTACATATTTACCGGACGCGCATCTTATTTACCGGACGGTATTTACCGGTATTTACCGCCGGTAATTACCGCCACCGGTATTTACCGCCCAACCCTGTTAGAAAAGGAAAATCAGATGTGACTTCTAAAAGAGTAACCAAAATGAAGAGAATGTAAAGACAAGAAACAAAGAGCATTCGGCCAGTAGACAGGTTATGTAATATTTGCAGAAGCTGAATTCAATGCCATTTTACACGATTTGTTTTTCTCTCTGTATTTCTCTCTCTCTCTCTCCCTCTTTCTCTGGTTCGAAGGAGTTTCCTTATTGATTTTGAACGTTCATAAATCAACGTTTACTAGGGGGATCGCAATTCAGAGCATTTTTATCGATTGGACTGCGAGTCAGAGATAGCTTTGCGGAAAATTTAGAGCATGAACCAATGCGGTCATTAGTTTACTTGTGTTTAGTTTGTCAGAAAAGTAAGCATATTTGACTGTTACAATTTAAAGACAACGAAGGTAATTTGACGACAAAATGCAACGGGTTGATACACCCCCCCCCCCTCCTATCACAAACAAGGGACGCCCCTGGTCAGCTGGTCTCACTGAACAAATTCTTTTTTTTTGTCCTCGAAAATGTTTTTATTTTAACCCCCCCCCCCCTTGAGCGCCAGAGGGGCCCAACCCCCCCAAAAAGGTAAAATCACGTGATTATACATGATTTTTTTTTCTCAAGGGGGGGGGGGGGCGGGCCCTCCACCCCCTGGATCCGCCAATGAGGAGGGCGGCACAACTCACCCGCGACACTTTTAAAAATGAATCATGCATGTGCCTACACATAGAAACAAAGTGTGCGCCATAAACACTTCTTTTGCCCCGTTTCAAATTTAAGATTTAGAGCACCTTAAATATGGGCGGATCCGGATTTTCCTATAAGGTGCACAATTCAGAAAGTATGGTTAAAGATCATCATTTTTTTCGGGGGCTAAAATGTGTAAAGGGAGCATACTTTAGTGTGGGTTTGTGTTTACCACTTGGGTTTCAAAAGAAGAAGAGGGGGTGCAAGGATTTGTTGTGGCCGTGGTTGTGATATCCCCGGGGGATATCACCCTCCCCCCTCATTTGTCTTCCGAAGATTTTTCGACTCCCCCTCCCTACTCCCCATACAAGAATATAACTTGAAAGGAAAAGAGAAAACGCTTACCATGATCATTCCCGTTGCCTCTTTGAAAGCGGGAACATAAATGTCTCGCTTCCTTTGGAGCTCTTCCTGTCGTTGGATCACGTTTTCGTCGTCCTGAGGGAGCACCGCGTCGTCCTCCTTCACCTTAATCGGACATCCAGCTCGAACCCATCTATGAATTGGGAACATGTGGACCTGATTGGTCTTCTCGCTCAGCACCCTGACGAATTCACAGTACCACTCGTCATCGTGGAAACCAAACTTGTCCCGATGGATCTCCAGATAGACAGGGTCCCCAAAATTCCCATCCCCAATCGCAATCTGGAAGCTATCTAGCCGGCCGGACTCGAAGTCGTTGCTCAGGAGGTTGTCGAGCTGGCACTTGCCGGACCTGAGCCCGTTCTCATCTTGAAAGACGACCGAGATTGTATCGTCGGTGCCCATGCCCAGACGGTCACCCGTTTTCACGTAGAGGGTGAAATTCTTCTTCGAAAATAGGTTCCACATGTTGGTAAAAAAAAATGTTAACTAGAATTTGTTATTTAACTCATATTCTGCCATGAGACTGCTAGCGCGCTATTGTTATAGTGCTCTGTGCATGCGAGCGCGCTATCGATTGAATGCCACGTTCATGCTAGCGAGCCACCGCTACTCTGCTTTGTGCACGCAAGGGCGCATATGTAATAACAGTCATTGTTCATGCCCATGCCACCGTGCTGAGTACTTTTGCAGCGGTATTGAAAGTACCATCGCGTGCATCAGATTATCGGCTTTGGATTACGCGTCTTTGTATACAACAGTCAGAGTGGATTTTCTCGAGTAATTTAGCGATTTGTTTTTGTAAAGATTTAAATAACACGCGCTTGAACCAACCTTAAAATTAACTTGGCACACAGGAGATTTGTGGCTGGCACAATAGGGATTAGCACTGTGGCATTGGGTGCATTGTATGGGTGGCAGCTTAAGAGTTAAACGCGATAATGTCATGAATACGAACGAACGCCGACGAAGGAAAGACACCTGAAAGTAATATTCAAAATATACAATCGAACACCCGGACCTCTCATAAAATAAGAAATTCTTGACCTGTTGAAAAAACTTTCCGATCTACGAAATACACGGAGGTTGGTTTTGCTAGCTGAACGTGACAGCGATTATGTCATGTACAACCTTGTGCTCTGCTCTTTATATCACACTTCACCAAGTTTTAAGCGTACACTTCTTTTTTTACGAGTCCCAAAAAAATCGCAACGACTCAGCCAGCCGCTGAAATGGGGGGGGGGGGGGGGGGGGGGGGGGGGTAAGAGGACACTTTTTATTTTTTATTTTTTTGGGGGTCTCGAAATTTTAAAAAATTGACATTTTGTCCAGTTGGGGGGAGGGGGGTAAGGTCACCTTTTTAAGGTCACCTATATGCATTTTTTTTTTTTATTATTTTTTAATGTTTTTTAAGTTATTTTTAAAAAAAATATTTAAAAAAAATCAAAGGGGGAGGGTTTTCCAAAATAACATACAAAAAAAAATACACTTAAAAAAAAATCGAGGGGGGGGGGGTTTAACCCCAAACCACCCCCTGCGTACGCGCCTGAGGCTGACGTACACTTGCAAAGTGTAGCCAAGCACATGTCGATGAAGTCGATGACTCAGAATAAAAATGCATTAATGGTAAATGTGAATATTGCACGGAGATTACATAATGATCAAAGATGAGAATGAACATGAATAAATGCGATGAATAAATAGAGCTTACGACCAGGGGCGTAAATCCCGGGGGGATGGAGGGGGGGGGGGCTGCATCCCCCTGGCTTGAAGTAGGGGGGATGGCCTGTACAATCATCCCCCTGATATTACAAACAAAAAGAGAGAAAAAAAGGAAGAAGAAGAAGAAGAGAAAAATGTGATTGTTTCAATTTCAGCATAATGCATGAGAAATGAGTTATTTTTTTTAATGTATGTATAACTGTATAGCCTACACGTATACAGTATGTCACGATCATTAAGAGTAGTTGCGCGACGTGCGCGAACAAGCACTTCATAAACTTCAGAATAATTTTTTTATTTTGCAAGGTATTATTATAGCCCAGACGTAAAGTGCGCCTGCGCGCGAGCGCTTAAAAGGTGCAATCATGTACAGTAGATACTCCGCTCCCCCCCCCCCACTTAGTGTTATTTAGGGTACGCGTACGCTCGTTCCCTCCCTTTGAAAGCACCCCCCCCCCCTTCGCCGGCTTTTTGCTGGCTTTTCCTACCTTGGAGACCCCCCCAAAAAAAAACAAAAAAAAACAAAAAAAAAACAAAAAAAAAATCAGGAACACTGCTAAATGTACCACACCCTCCTCCCAAATTTCAGGTGAGCTCTAGTCGATCGTGGGGGACTGGGGGCCAATGCTTTTACTTTTCAAAATGAAATAATCCTGAATGAGCTTTCAAAGCTAGCAGGAATTTCAGAAATTTGATCCCGGGATTTGATCAATTTTTCTATGATATTCAAGATATTTTATAATCTCCTTTTTACATTTCTCAGGAGTCCAAAGAGAGACAGAGACGCGCGAGAGGAAGGGAGGGGGGGGGGGGGGGGGGAAAGGGAAAACTGAATTCAGATGAGGATTAAAAGTCGAGAACGGTACAACGAATCGTCTTCTTTCTCTAATGATTTAATGAAACGTAAAAGCTTCAGCGCTTCGCGCGGGCGGGGGAAGGGAAAAACTGAATTCAGATGAGGATTAAAAGTCGAGAACGGAACGAATCGTCTTCTTTCTCTAATGATTTAATGAAACGTAAAAGCTTCCGGGCTTCACGCGGGAGGGGGGAAGGGGGGGGGGGAAGGGAAAAACTGAATTCAGATGAGGATTAAAAGTCGAGAACGGAACAACGAATCGTCTTTTTTCTCTAATGATTTAATGAAACGTAAAAGCTTCCGCGCTTTGCGCGGGAGGGGGAGGGGAATGAATTCAGACGAGGATTAAGAGTCGAGAACGGTACAACAAATCGTCTTCTTTCTACAATGATTTTATAAAAAGGTAAAAGCTTCCGCGCTTCGCGCAGGAGGGGGAAAGGGAAAAACTGAATTCAGATGAGGATTAAAAGTCGAGAACGGTACAACGAATCGTCTTCTTTCCCTAATGATTTAATGAAACGTAAAAGCTTCCGCGCTTCGCGCGGGAGGGGAGGGGGAACTGAATTCAGACGAGGATTAAGAGTCGAGAACGAAACAACGAATCGTCTTCTTTCTCTAATGATTTAATGAAACGTAAAAGCTTCCGCGCTTCGCGCGGGAGGGGGGGGGGGGGGAACTGAATTCAGGCGAGGATTATTTTCGAGAACGGTACAACGAATCGTCTTCTTTCTCTAATATTGTTTGTTGTTTGTTGTTTGTATGTGTGCGTGTGTGTGTGTGTGTGTGTGTGCGTTTGTGTGCGTGTGTGTGTGTGTTTAGTTTTGTTTGTTTAGTTTTAAAGAAATGATACAAAAATTGAGAAGATTATCGTACTTTTATCAAGAGTTAATATCACACACATTTTTTGTTTTTCCTGATAATTTATGGTATATAATCGTAGTGTATATTAAATATAAAGTGAAGCCCGGGTTTCTCATCGTTGTTGGGTATGTGGAAGGCGAGGTTTGATTTTTGTTCAACTTCGTCTCCATAATGCCTTACATGTTGAATATCGGAGATGAAGTGACAACTTTGAGTTTCTTTTTTAAAATAAAAGATTCTCAGGCTGATGGTTTGTTTGGCAGGGCTTGTTTATTATTGCTCTGTCAGCGATCTATTGGTATGGAAGAGATGAATTTATGTTCATCACTCACTCATGTGGAATAACCTCTCTCCTAATGTACGTGTTAGTGTGTCCCTATTGTCCTTTAAGAGGCAATGCAAGCTTCTCAGTAACCAAAACGCCCTCTGACAAACACTCTTTTTTTTCCTTCTTCTTCTTCTTTCATTTGCAATATTTATGCTTAAACTTTTTTTTTTTTTTTTTTTTTTTTTTTTTTTTTTTTTTTTTTTAAATATTTCATATATTGTATTCGTATTTCTTGTTGTAATTTTAGTTACTTTGTATATCGGTTTTATTTGTATGTATACCATATTAATGTGCAATGTTTTACATGTTTTTAATTGTATAGACAGGGCCCCTTGGAAGAGCAATACTCGTTATTGAAAGGGCCACCCTGTATAAAGAAGACTTGAATAAATAAATAAATAAACTAGAAATTTAATTCGTCATGGGGACGAATTAGGTGGTCTGTCTTCAAGTCTTATGAGAGATTATAATATTTACTATATTGAGAAAGGGAGAAGTTATATAGACATGTAAACAATGATGATCATCATGATGATCATGATGATGATGATCTTGATAGTAATGGGGATGACGATGATGATGATCATGATGATCATGATGATGTTGATGATTATCATCAACAGACCACGATGACATCAGACTGAACAAAATTAGAGAACATTTAGATAGCGTATAGTCTCAGCTACAACATACTCAAAAATCAACAAAAACCAAGCAGAAATAACAGCGATATTGCTCGCAAAAGACAAGAATGTAGAATCCAGATTTGAGAAAAAGTCATCTCCCATAAGGATTACACGCCAAAAGTAATGGATCTAGTGATAATAGGGTAATAATAAAGTAAATATGGTTGTTTATTACATTATTTGCAATTGTACGTGTTTTAATATTCAAAGGAGATGGTAGAGTGAAAGGTCAAAAAGAAAAAAAAGTGAAGAAAAAAAATTGTTGGAGACGCCCGGACTCGAACCAGGGACCTCGAGGTCGGAAGTCAAGTGCGTTACCGATATACCAAAACATTTCCCATAGAGATTACACGTAAACGGAAAATGGAATTATCAAATCCCACTTTGTATGTGAGATATGAGCATGATCCCGGCATCTGATCGAGAAATAAAGGGCACACTCGTGATAGCTTATTGTCTCAGCTACAACACACTCAAAGCTCAGCGTAAACAAAGATAAAACGACGGAGATATGGCTCGCGAAAGACGAGAATGTAGAATCCAGTTTTGAGAAAAAGTCATGTCCCATAGAGAATACACGCAAAATGTGAAAAATTGACATGCCTCCTTTAATCGCAAAAATACGCCATGATACCATTGTCAAAATGAAATATCGTGGCGACTGCTTTTGTAGAGAATATTCTCAGGTAGAACATATCAAAATTTGAAAGAAAATTTATCAATATTTACAGAGATACAATCAATTTTCCAAAAATCTGCTGACGTCATAATATGCAAATTAAAATTTTGAGTTCGGAGGCCATTATGATGACGTCATGAGTTAATTGAGGGTCAAATTACACATGAAATCATATTTCCAACTCATGCTTTTTCCAACCATGATATAAAAGTTGGGATCAATTGATTATCTGAAGAGCTATTTTGATTCTTAAAATGTCATGTTTTTGATCAAATTTGCATTATATTTCCCATAGCAGCACGCGCGGATTTTGAACTTTGACGCGCGCTCACGGCCTTATGAAAGGTCAAG